AAATTTTTAAAAATGTATCTAAAAGTAAAGTATTGTAAAATGAATAAAGAAAGTCATTTATACATTTCAAACGGCATGTACAATCCACGTTAATAATAAAAAAGAGGTTAAAATATACATAAAAAATTCTTACTGCGTAACTAACGCAGTACTAGTGATTAATATTGCAAAAGCAGTCATTAAACGCTCATAACATGTAAAAAATTATTTAACTATTAAATCTTCTTACTTTTTAAAGATCTTAATAAATTTTTCCAAAGATTCAATTTCTTGAAATATTTTGGCTCATGTGGAGGCGTCTTTCAGTACTTTTGCAAAGAATATTATCGATTTCTATTAATATATGTAAAATAAAAGATTACGACTAACGACAACAACGATGATTACGACGACGACGCATAAGACTAAGACGACTATTAATATAAATACTGCTTCTACTACTTAACTACTCTTACTTCTTTGGCTACTACTATCACATGTACTTCTACTTATTATTACCTACTTCAACTACTACAACTACTGCTGCTACTGCTACTTATACTGCTTCTACTTCTTTGGCAATTACTTCTACTACTGCTGCTACTTATACTACTTCTACTACTGCTGCTCCTACTACTACTAGTACTGCTGCTGCTGCTGATGATGCTGCTTCTGCTGCTAGCAATACTAGGAAAAATACTACTGCAACGTTGAATGGCGCTTTTCCAATTATCGGGGTATTTTAGGGGGTTTAAAACAACAACAACAACAATCGACTCTTTCAAACAACTATGTAAATATAGCACACATCACTATGAACTTACGGTACGCTGATTTGGGTATACTAGTAGGCAGATCCAAGATTAGTGTCTGTCTTTTATCATATAGAACTGATTCAAGCGGTTTTTATTAGTGTTTTTTTTATTTCTATTAATTTTGGAAGAACAAAAAGGGGCAAGGTATGGTGAATAAGTAGTGTGCAATAAAAATGTTACCATTTCTTCTGTATAATGGCAGATAATGAGCTTGGGCATTTTTGTAGAAGTATATTTTTGAAACCGGTTCATGGCGGCCGTGTTTTAAAAGTATCTTTTCATTTCTTCAATACTGCATTTTAATTGTACTTTCTAGTGAATTGCAACATGTTCACAAGAGAAGAAAATTGCATACCACAAAACATTTGCACTCAAGAAGCGTTTTAGCAAGAACATGCCTGTTGGTAGCTTTGCAGCCAATATTGTATTTCCAATTGTTCGTATGGTTCCAAAAAATGCACCCAAATTTCATTCATATTATTACATTTGCAAATTACTTTTTATCATATTTTGGTAAACTGTTCCAAGCATAGTATTATGTAAAACAAATTATCATAATTTGTTGATTTTGTTTTCTAAGTCACTGTGACCTTGACCTTCACCCGACATAATCCATTGTATAAAATGATCTACCTTACATTGAGATTCACTTTCTGGCAAAGTTTAGTCAAAATCAAAGCAAAAATGAAAACGCTAGAGCGGTAACGCCAACTTTATTTACGGAAGACGGACGACGGAAAAATTTACCACAAAAGCTCATCCTGTTACGTGGCAGGAGAGCTTACACATTATGAAATTTGACCTTGATATCGGTATGACCTTGAAAGGTAAACATATAGTGATGATATTACATAACTTTTTTTATTGAGTTTTGTATTATTTTCAAAACTTACCTCAATAAACACGTTTGGCTAAACCTCCATATTGAATTTCTTTAATATGACATTGTATTGGCAATTAAATTCTTTATAATGAAACAGAGATATGCTTTGTTAAGTACTTCATTGGTTACTTTTGCCAGTCGCAATACAACTAGTATATTAAGTACTTTGATTTTACTTTTAATGATATCATATATATTGATAATTATGCATCCTTTTTTCTGAATTAAATACTAAGGTTAATTAAGATTCCTAAAAATGCTGTGTTTGGTAAGTATTTATCCTGTTATTGCATGCTTACAATCATTTTAAACCATTTTTTTGGGAGGGGGCCCACATAAATTTTAAGGTAATTTAAGCATACTGTTAAGTCTGGATGAACAAATAAATTGGAGTAATATAGTTATTTTGTCGCTTTAGCATTTTTATGCCCCCGAAGGTCGGCATATAATAATCGCACTGTCCCTCTGCCCGCCCTTCCAAACGTTTGTTGGATAATCATGTCCTCGCTTTAAGGGGCGATTTAAGTGAAACTTCACAGGATTGTTTGTCACCAAATCTAGTTGTGCATACTTTATTGGTTTTCCTCTTGAATCTTTTTTTTGCACAGATATGGCCCCTTTCTGGTCATTTTTCGAGTAAAATAAACTTGTCTGTGCTTCATCAAGAAAACTGAGGAGTGATTCCAGTGACACTTCACAGGAATGTTTGTCACTATGCTTAGTTGTGCATAGTATCTTGATTTTCCGCTTGAATCTATTTTGGGACAGTTATAGCCCCTTAATGTTCATTTTTTGAGTAAAATAAGCTTGTCCGCGCTTCATCACCAAAGCAGAGGGTGGGGATTATTCACAGAATTGTTTGCCACCAAGCCTAGTTGTGGATTCTTCCTGATTTCAGTAAATTAACTTTGCCACTTGGAAAATTTCAGTGAGCACTTATAAAATTGTTGGCATGCCAAGTATAGTTGTGCATTGTGCCATGATTTTGATTTTTCGCACAGTTATGGGCCCTTAATGATGATTTTAAGTGAAAATTGTTTAGACTTTTATCGGAATGACATTTATCAAAGGAGGTCGGGCATATATAACCAGTATTTTGGCATATATTGAGGATTTTATTTCAGAGCTTCCTATCGGGGGCATTAGTCACTTCAGTGACAGCTCCTGTTTAAGAATTTGTTTCCGTGGATTAAAATGCAAAATAAGGTAGGTAATGGCAGCCGTAAATCACTGACTATGAAATAATAAGCTATCATGAAAAGCCAAATGAGTGAGAATCTAACAAAGCGTGTACTACGACATGTACCTACTTAGACTGATACTTGCTGGGCTGCTACAACCACCGCCGCCAGCACCGCCACTTCTACAACTCCTATTACGACTTATTGTAATACTACTAATAATGACGATGATAAAAATTATAACATCATACCAATACTGTTAGAACTTTCTCCATGACTTCGACAAATACGCTGCCTGCTGTAGTCTTGAATATCACAATTTTATTAAAACTTATTTAACGAAATAATAAGCCATCGTATGCAAAACGAAAGACGATCTCGACAAAATTTATAACGAAAAGCGGAATACACTTTAGGCATTGCGCAAACTTTTTTTCATCAAATGAAATGTATTATGGTAATGCATCAAAAGTTAATGCGAGAAGGTGAAATGAATTAGATATTGCGTCATAATCTTTTTCGAGAAAGTGAAATGCATCATGTATTGCCTCTATATTTTTTTCGAAAAACACCTTTTATTAATTTTTCGTCAAAATATTAATCGTTATGTGTAATGTTTCTGTTTTTGCAAGAAGACATTTGGCCAATTAACTCAAATCTTCTCGTTTATTCGAATTATTTTTTGCGAAAACACTCAAGATATCATGCCTTTGCACCTTAATTCTTTCGACTTGCGTAAATCTTCTCATAAAAGATCGCGTAAGAGGTGACCCTTTGAAGCTTCCGTAAGCTATTTAACAATGCGAGTAACGTATTTGCGTCTTACTAAATATTTCAGCAAAGTCGTGAAATCACGAAGTTTCGACAGGATTGTTGTCGAAGAAACAAAAGCTTCAAGCATATCGAGAAAAATTCAGTTGCAATGTCTAAAAGCTTCTGATCTTTGTCATTAAATTTTATCGAGAAATGCAAAAACATCTTATCAATGCGAATAAAAATAAGTCGACTTAGCGCAAAACGTCTCACCAACTGTAGGCACTGATACGCTTCCGTAAATAACCATTCAATGACATATGTTTTAAATACTTTTAAAGCACGCATGCACTATACCTACAGTTGTATCTTAATTTGCATGAAACCTTACATATTGTTAACGAGTTAAATTTCGGTTTAGTATACAAATTAGATAATATAACCTAGCTTAAAACACTAATTATCAACATAATTCACTCAACCAAATATGCAGTATTCCCTCCCTCCGTACTTAAAGGGTAACATTTATGTGAAAGAATTAGTACATTTTGTTACATCACGCATAGTACACACGCAAAATGTAACATGTGATTTTAAATATTTAATACTTTTCCTAAAATACATTGTATAGATATAATAATAGTTTGATTTGACTGAATCATCTGTAGGTGTGCCGCTTTAAATTGTTTATTTTGTATCATTTTGCAAGTAGTTTAAAGGTGATAAATATAAATAACATTTACAAACTGTAACCATAGTAAAATAAGTTAATGCGCCATGAAATCACGAAAAGTGATATTTTTAGAATTACGAACTTCAAGATACATTTATTATATTTGAAAATTAACCCTAACGCTCCTGTGCCATTAGCTAATTGCCATTGTGTGTTTACATCAAATATAAACTTTTGTTGTATTGTTTGTATAAAATTAGATTTTAATTAAGTTATAATTGTAGTTTTATAGATATGTCGATAATAAACCACACATGCCTTAAATAATTTAACGATCAAATAGATAACTATGTTTTTATTTATGAATATCTAAGGTTTCAATTTTAAAAGATCATTACATCAGTATAGACTGGAATATTTATTGTTAATTTCACTTAAATTTATCAAAAAGTTTATTAATCAGTAGGAAAATCTTCTCAGGTTAAGAGACAGATACTGAGGAAGTTTAAATTTTACTTTTATTAGAGAACGTCATTGATAAGTTACGTCATAATGCATGAATATTCGTCATAAAAAATTATAGTCATTGAAAATGATCTAATTATAGAATGCAAAAAACACCATAATTTCTCAACCGTTGTGAGACATTTACAGTTTTAATATTTCGGAAGTCAAATCGATAAAAGGTGTTTTATTTTAAATTTTATTTTCTAAAGATCGCTTTAAACAACAAAGATGTTTTACCAGATGATAACACTGTGCGTAATACTGATGATCATGACGTGTTACTCACAGAAAACAGACGATATAACACGTGACCGGAAATCGCCATGTTCTAATTCTAAATGTGGAAAGTACAGGTCAGATAAGTTTCATTTGTATAATCTTATATTACTTTGGATTTTGGCGTAGGATTTTGGCGTAGTTACATTTGTTCGCTCAAACTAAATTTTCCTTATTTTTTTTATCATCTTTTTGCAAAATTTTGTAATTATTATTCACTATACATGATATTTGATAGTGATATAAATTGATTTTCAGTCACAAGTAATTCAAATAGTGATTAAAGAAAGTATAATATTACAGGTATTGTAAACTCATATACTGAAGAGAGTATTGCCCGTTAAAAAATTATTTTGTCACACAGTTATAGGAAGATTTTGAAGATGTTTCCAGGAACGTTTTATACGAGAAAACAAATAGAAGGCAATGAAAGACAGTTCAGGGTGGCACGTATGAAATACCTCGTTGAGCAAGGTATTCATATGAAGTCAGGGATGATCGGGGATGGTGACTCTTGTTGCCCTACGTAAGCAATAAACTTTCTTTGTTTAAAGTGATAGTATGCTCATTTTTGCACTGTCAAGCCGAGATAACGCATGTAGTTGTATATTTCAAAAGGTTGACTTTTTAAATGACGATTGAAAAATAATTTATAATATCAAATGTAACGTGTAAAAACTGCCTTCAAAATACAAAGACTACCCCACTGATTTTTCTTTATAAATTTAACATTATCGATATGTATAGATTTTTTTTGTGGGTCACAGGGGTTATTTTAGTTATAAACGAACATTCACTTTTTACTCTTGTATGGGCATAATGTCACTTTAAAGTTGTTAATTCAAAGTTATTTTTCTTCTGTCGGATGCGAAAATATTTATAATGTTAAACATAAAAGGATCATTTTGTTATGTAATAGAAAGAGCACCGAAACACGAGGCTATCTGATTTGTACGAGGGGGCGTAGCCCCCGAGTATTAATCAGATTACCGAGTGTTTTGGTGTTCTTTCTCTTTTGTATCATAGTCAAACATAAAAACACGTTCCCTGTTGTTACAATATGAAACCCCGGCAAAAATGAACCATTGAACGAGCATCTAAATATGACATTTCTGTCGATTTCACTTTCACTGCCGTCACAATATGTAAACCCCAGCAAAAATGAGCCAATCAATGGGCATGCTCTGGAGTGCGGGTAACTAATACCCGCACTCCAGTTAACGCACTGTGCATGTATATGTATACGATTTAACCCTGACACATTTTCAACAGAAAGGTCTCCAAACTATGATACAATTTGTATTTGTTTCTGTGTGCTTTTGTACAAATTTAGTGGGACGGAATATAATAATTTTTTTACAGTTTTGAAGAAAAGCTAAATAACATGACTGTTTATATTACCTTTATATGTGGGATTCAAGTATTTCATATGAATTATTACAACTTAAAGTTCATACAAATACATAATAATTTTCGAACATTTTCAAATGTAACTTTTCAGAAAAACCCTTACGTTCACAAATTTCACGATGACCAATATTGACGGAGAGAACAAGTATTTAGTACATACACCGCCTAAATACCAATTCATTCCTCATGGAGTGTGCATGTAAGTTTTCAATAACGCCATCTTAAAATATCTGACACGTTTTGGTGTAAGCTTATGTTAATTAGATGAATTTAACCGTATTGTTAAATATTATTTAGTTTTCAAATGCCTTTACTTACACTGAAAATATTTTGTTTAAACAAAATAGTATGGTGCTAAGAAGTTAGCTGCTTGATTAAAAGAATTAACTTAAGTTCGTTCTTTTGCTCTTGCACATATCATATTTCAGTTTTGTGTTAGGGTCTACTATGGGCTTCTTTTTTCGTGAGAGTGGAAGGATTTGATAAAACCAATGATTGCCTCATGATTATTTTTTAACCTTAAGTACAAAGTTCATCGAAGGTATAATAAGTCGACAGCCCCAATAGCTGTCATTAAGTAGTCAGAATAAATCATTCATAAATTATCATCCTCATTAAAACTTTGGTTAACCGGTTTACTGCTCAGAAAAAGACGCAGTACAAAATTTGTTCTTTAATAATAAGAAAGTGACGGAGCAAGTTAATCATGCAATGATATAAAGCATAACTGCATCAACTTCTATTTCTCATTTAAAAAACATCCGATATATGTTACAAAGTGCTTTTTTGGCCAGATATGAAATTGTATATACCATTGTCGGAATAAAAAAGAAATTCGGGAGCATCTTACGTACATATCAATTAAATGTTCGAAAGGCGATACCAAAGTTTTGATGATTTCTTTTAACAAAGTAATCACTCACCTCATTTGCATAGTAATAACATGCTTTATTATATACATATGATAAATGTTAAAACGTTACAGCCACACTGTGTGTTATATGATATGAAGGACAACGCACTCGGAAGTAATATATAGATATTTGATATTCATCCCACTGTAAATTAAACACTATATAATTATTGTTTTATATTTATATCTTCAGGAAAGGAGGCACTTGTGATGGGATATGCGTCAATGAACCAGTTACCCACTCTCTATTGACGTACAATGTTGAAAAAGGAAAGCTGGAGTTTGACCTGTTTATCGTACCAGGATATTGTTCATGTAAATCAGTATAACACTTGACCTTGTGATATGTATACACATTGGCTTGCACAATCGACATCTAGTCCAATGTACAGTTGATTTTTAAAGACAGTATAGTAAATATTTGATGTAATATACATGTATCTTTCAAAATGGACTATTATTACATGTTACTATTATTAACTATTATTCTTAAGTGATATTTTTTTTTGTTTGCTTCAAACATCAAAGTATATGATTTGTGTCCAAAATATCTATTTGACCAATAAATTAATCAATACTGTGTTACTATACAGTTCATTGTGAAGTTGTTTATATATCCTCGACTAGGTTCTAATAACTACACACCAAATATTTGAAATTAGTAGATTACAACAAGTCATTCATACTTTTAACTGGATACTGATTTACCATAAAGAAGAGACCACGATTCGTATGAATAATTTTTTAAAGCCATCAACAGTTATTAACGTGTTTTTCCTCACTGTCACTTTATATTTTTTCCTTGGGTAACAAGTTTTAAAGATATACTATGCTCAAACTTGATATTAGAAAATGTTGATAATTCTTTAACAGCCTATTGTAAATTTAAAATAAACATGATTTCATTAAAAGTAGATTTGTTATAATAATTGTTGGAAATTCTACACACTTTTACACACTTTATGAGGAAGCTATCCAGCTAGCTTACGGAACGTCGGTGGTTCTACTCGGGTACCCGTTCGTGCCTGAAATAATGCACAGAAGGGCACCTGAGGTCTTCCTCCACCAGTAAAGCTGGAACGTCGCGATATGACCTATACTGTGCCGATGTAACGTAAAAACCCAAAACAAACAAACAAATCTACACACTTTGGGTGATATATCGTGTAAATGAAAAAAAAAACAACAACAAAAACAAAAAAAACCCCAAAAAACACTGGCAGTTTCTTCTAAGAAAATACCAACTTTATTTGACCTGTAATAGGGAACACAGCTTCTCATACATATTGTATTCATTCTTTTATTCAAATTAGACATATTCGGTAGATATTTTATTACATTTCGATAAATTTCTGAGATTAAAGCATTTTACACAAGGATGGGCATAATTTTACTTTAACACTTTATAAATTTGAATATTTCATAAAGAAAAAGACTGTCATGAATATACAAAGCCTGATTTGTTAATGGGTCAATTACATTTATATATATCGATCATGGTAAACAACAAGCCATAAATATTTAACACCAAGACTATTTTCAGATATAAACAGGAGGCATGGATCTCAGTCACATGACATTGCTGATAATGCAAAAAGCTACTACAAAATCATAAAAACTACGTGTGTTATTTTTCATTTTATTTAAAATCTTATTTTATCAAGACAATAAATAACCTAAAAATACAAAGTTACTAGTAAAGTAAACATAAATTTAAACATGAAATAAGTATGATAGCAATACAATATTTCTAATTTTTGTTTTTTAACAAAACTACAAAAGGGTCAATTTACTCGACACAACTGTGAAATTATTGAATAAATAGTGACATAGTTCATTACCGATGGTTTGAATAAAAACTCCATTTCAAGTATCCCATATTATCTGTCTTTATGATCAGTGTTTAAATCATCGATTTACAAAAAAGCAAGCAAAACAGAATAAAAAATGTAATAAACCACAATATAAATATAAAAGAGAGGAAAAAGAAGATCAGAAACTTTGCAATACTCACAAAACCCCCAAACGAAACAAGCATTGATATTACAATTACATTTAAAGAGAAATAAGAAAACAAACATGTTTTGAAATCACTTTTGAATCTGTCAAACATGCAGTTCAATAAACTCAAAAGTTTTTTTTATTAGACATAATACTCAAATCAAGCTTTAATCATGTCAACAAGAAAGTGCCAAGAAAATGCCACTGCAATTTGTCCAGAAATACTTATAAAATGTTTTTTTTTATTTATAATTGTCTGATATCATCTCTTTATCAAAAGACCAAATATTCTTTTTAAATGTACACATTTTTTGCATACTGGTATTTTATCAATCTATTCCGTATCGCAAAACTTTTTTCAGAAATGCTAAATCATCTTCCAGTCATTTTATGTCTGTTTAAATAATAATAACTTTTATCTTCTTGTCTTATTTTCATTACGTTTTTCGACAACTCATTTTACACACTTTGCCATTGTACGGCTAGTAACAATTAACTTTAAATGTTTTTTTTTCTTTTAAACTCCTCTGTTTCAATTCCAATATAACTTTGAGTTTATTTGTCACTGGCCAACTCTGACGATCAGGTGGTAAGAATTTATACGACCTTGAAATCGTCATATGAATTCTTGCATGAACAGTACCCTGGTATGTTGAATAGATCAAATCGGAAGTTGTTGTTTTCATCGTACCCTAGGAGTGTAATGGTTTTGTTTTCTAACGTACATTTTCCTTGACAGCTCCCTTTTCCCCTGAAATATAGCATTTTGTTTTTGAACAAAGGCAGTTTATTTATCATATAATTATATAACTCCACCCCTTTAAAAGACCTGTTTAGCTATATTTAATATATGTTTCTTATTCATTCATGTAGAATAAATCACTTGACATCATTTTATAAAATATCATTTCCAAGTAAGGTGCGTCATTTATTAATTAAAACATAGAATGATATATGTAGGTATTACTTAATGTTTACAAACTTTGATTAAGATACTTACGAACAGTTAGCAAGCGGCATATACTGATACATTGTCTTGGAATCGACGGTGAGATTCACTATCGTCATCATTCTATCATGAATGTTAAACATCTTCTTAACGTATGTATGCTTTATTTCCCTAGAGAATATAAAACATTTAAACATTATTGGCTTTTATTACAATATAACCGAAACATTTACTTACGCAATAAATCTTTATGGAAAAACATTGCAACAATTCGTTAACTGTTGTTAATAATTCACAAAACTTAAAGCAAGATCTGTTTGTAAAACGTTCCATTTATTCCCAGTTTCAATGCAAATAATCAAGGCATAAATCAAATATTTCAAGGCATAAAAAACATTATCGATTAAATAATTGAAATAGTTTTGATTTGCTGCTATCATTACTTCTTGCAAATTTATTTATTTTGTGCTTAGACTGCTGGGCAGCAAATTATATTACTTTTGCGACCAGTGAAGACAAAGACCAGCCTATGCTAGCCAGCCTATCAAAGTCTATGCCGTCTGATCGCCGTCTGCATAGTTGGCTATTCAGTCAGTGCGTTTTTCGATTTTCCCTTAAAATGATAAATGATTTTGTCTTGCTTGAAAGATGTACAAGTCCATTTCAGATATTAAGTGCTGCGACTTCATTGATATTTTCAATCTTTTGTATTATTCTAAAGTAATACGAAAAGACTTTTTCAAACCGAGCTATACTTATTAGTTGGGCGTTCTTTATGGTTTTCGATTAATCTGTTTTAAATACAACTTAGATAGATAGGTAGGTAGGTAGGTAGGTAGGAAGGTAGGTAGGTAGGTGGGTAGGTGGGTGGGTGGGTAGGTAGGTAGGTAGGTAGGTAGGTAGGTAGGTGATAGATAGATAGATAGATAGATAGATAGATAGATAGACAGACAGACAGACAGACAGACAGACAGACAGACAGACAGACAGACAGACAGACAGACAGACAGACAGACAGACAGACAGACAGACAGACAGACAGACAGACAGACAGACAGACAGACAGACAGATAGATAGATAGATACATACATAGATAGATAGATAGATAGATAGATAGATAGATAGATAGATAGATAGATAGATAGATAGATAGATAGATAGATAGATAGATAGATAGATAGATAGATAGATACATAGATAGATACATAGATACATAGATAGATACATAGATACATAGATAGATACATAGATAGATACATAGATACATGTATATATATGACAAGGGGGAACCCCAGCTTATAATTCCTGAAATACCCTCTAGCAAACTTTTTAAAACATGAACAAATCAAACATATAAATAGGAGAAAATACATACGTTGGACAGCAAACGTCCCCGTCGTGCATTGTTCGTTCAGAATTTGTATTATGAAGTTCTTCCCTATCTAATGGTGTGTGTTGAATTGCGTTATCGGTATTATCAAATGCATCAATTTCTTTTTCTGAAAAGAACATGCCTTTCAACATTTCTATATCTCTGTCAGTTCTGAAATTGTCAGTAACATAATATCATATAGTTTTACCAATAAATTACTACACATATTAGTTATTGTAGTAAATTATTGGGTCATAAGCTATGACAACTTGTGCACACAAATCAAAGTGGCAATGTTATGCTATGTTGACAAATTCATTTTCATAAGTGAGAGATTATTATTGAACACTTAACGCTTAAATCGGTTTATAAAATTCCATGTTGGGTTCTATTAATTACAAATAAATAGTGGCATTATCAATTCGTAAGGAAATCACTATTTTTGATCACTAATTCTTTTTCTTTAAAGTTATTGCTCATCTCTACTTTAGAGGCGTTGTAAACGTTTAAAATCTAAGGTCAAATAGATTAAATGAAATAATTTTATAAATTTGAAAATGAATGTTACTGTTTCAAGGACGATTAACATTCAAAGAAGAGAGCCTTTCAATATATGTCAATATAAGCGCTATTCATACTAAGCTTTTTAATCGTATATTTTTAAAAAATATAAAGTACCCTCACTATTCCGAGTTCCCGTATCCTCGAATCAGCGATGTAATGCTTCCCTTTCCGTAAATAAGAAACGTCCTTACCTTGTTTTTATGTCACATGGGCCTTTTAGACAATCCTGTAAGTAATTCGCTTTAAATCGTGGTGGTAAATTGATGGGGAAACATAAAGCGAAATAAATACTGTAACTGATAAATAAATTTATCTTCAAAGCACATGGTAACAATTTCATTTCCGTAAGATTTTTAACTCAGCAAAGTTTGATGATTCCAAAGAACTATTCGATGATTTGAATATGAATAAGAGAATGAATTCGAACAGTTTAAATACATTTGAGACTTGTCCATTTATTATTTATAACCTCTAAAAGTACTCCAAATAACTGGACATCAAAGAGAATAATTGACTTCAAGTTTGGAAAATGATCTATAAACCACTTGGCAAGTGGAAATGTACCACTTACAAAAAGCCCCTAAGATATATAAAGGTAAAACATTGGCTGTCCCTGAAGCTCACATAAAAGCCCCAGTATAAAATATATAACGCATTATATGCACTTATGCCGATAAAATTTCAGAAAAGCGGGTGATGGACCTTTCCAGTTTTTTGCAGCGGAACATTTAGCCACACCCTTTCCATTCATTGCAAGATCAACTGCTCACAAACAGTATCACAAACATAACCACGTGTTCTTTTGTGCAAACCAGGTCAACCAGTGACTATGTATTATATTAGTTTAGCAACTGGATAACAAGTTAACCAATGTACATTAAACTGTAAACACTATAAAGGTCCATTAAGACACATGCTATTGTCTATTTTGTTTAGTATTACGTCTTTGTCATTTGCACGCTGCACCGTTTTTTACGCTTTTGTTATCGCGAGCACAAACGAAATCAAAAACTATTAATGTGTCGAAGTACTGTTGAATCCATGTTGACACTATGTAACGAGCATAAACTACTGAAAATATGTACAGAAAAAATCTTTTGTGAGGTTAATGTTGTTGTAAGTTGTTTTCAGTTATACATAGACAGATACTGTATAATAGAAATGTTAAAACTTTGCATTGCCTTAAAATAATATATCAGAATCCTTTTAAGTGGTCACCGAACTCGTTTTAGAGTTATCTGCATTCGAATTTGAAAAGTTATACACATTTAATGGTAGATAATTCACAAGGTTAGTAAGGTCTTAGTTCTTTCTTCTTTTTTATGTAGCTTACTTCCTTTCAAATGATTTTGCAAAACTTCAAGAAAAAGTGTACAGCGTATCGTTTTGTTGTTGTCAATTTACTCAAAGATAGTTACTTTTTTAAAAGAGTGTTGTTTACTATACATTAGATAATAAAGGGAACACAAATGTAACGAAATTCCATTGTGAACATGGACTCAAAGCATAGTAAATTTTACTGCTTTATACGTGTAGTATGATCTATATAAAATTTTGTACAATCACTTGGAAATATGCGAGCCGGTATTAAGTGATAGAAAAACTAACGGATTGTAAGGAGTATTAGAATAATCCTTTAGGCGGCAGATTCTAGACGGGCAAATTAAACCACATCATCACGACAGTCGATACCTTAGTGAATATCTACATGGTAATACATGTACCACCGTGCATATGCAGTAACGAAGGAATGTGCAATTAAGGTAAAAGTAACGCCCACTCTCTGCAACGCTATTGCCAAAACAAATAACATAGTAAGTAAAGGAACCAAAATATTTTATTTTATAAATAAAATTTAAAGAAATGAATTAGCGCATACGGTTGTACGACATTATACTTTAACCAGCATTACAATTTTGTCAGGAATATGTTTACTTTTTAGATCATTCGAGAGAAAGACAGCCCGATAACTGTTTTAATGGTGACTTTTGTGTTTCGTCAAATAAATATGTACATTTAACGCATTAAAAATTAAAAACTTTTTTTTGTCACATCCTGTATACCTAAGACATTTGTTAAACTACATGTGTCATATAACAATAGAAGAAAACTGGTAAAATAGGATTTAGCTATTTTTAATAAGATAACTCTTGTGGCTTCAGTGCTTCATTCACGAATTCGGTGTTACCTCGTAAAAATGGTTGTCTACTAAACTAAGTGTAATATGACACGAGTAGATTGGAAAATGTCTCAGGTACACCGAATATAAAAAATCATAAAGTAATATGTATGTTAATATATTTAACAATATCAACGAAACTAAAAATTGCCATCAAAACGCTAATCAGCTTGTCATTTTCACGAATGATCTTGAAAAATGAACATTTTATTGGAAATATTTTTGATGAGGTTAATGTCTAAGCAACCGTATGTGCTAACTCATTTCGTCCGTTTTGGCGTACAATAAAAATATTGGTCCATTTACTTACCGCGGTGCTCGCTTAAGCCACTAAATTGCACAAATCTGCGTTACTTTTGCACAATTCCTGCGTTATTTGCACGTTCCTGCGTTACGGGATATACAGGATAGTGCACCGTTATAGCATTGATTAACATGGAGTTTGCAGGGTTTCAAAAATATCAGACGAGCTGTATTTTCTCCGGATATCACTAATTTGGACTTTACAGTATTCAATGAATTGAAATCGAGACTAAGTTGAATCAGATAATCAGGTACGTGGCTCAGATCCTAAAACAAACATTCACACAACTGTTATTTGACACAACAAACATATTGTGTAAAAGTTCATATTTTGCAATATTATGTAAAGTGTTTATATCATGTATGAAAACAAAATCAACAAGGAAGGGCGGTTTTCAACGAACGTATCTCCCAACACATGACTAATGGCAAGGAGCCCAATACGACACCAAACACGACAGGGTACGTTGCGTTTATAATGCATTCAGAATGATACAGTTCGTTAATAATGAATTATATATTTTATAATATTTTCGTATGTTTTAAACATTATCAAATACATGAAAAGTGTGATCATTCAATGGTAGTGTGAAGTATATATCAACAACAGCACTCATGATGCTTTGCATGAACAATATCCAGGAACAACAAATTGATCAAATTCAAGAGCTAAACTGGCTGAGTTAAAAGTCAAAATTGTTTGGATCACTGGTTCAACTACACATTGTCCGTCACAAATACCACTTCTCCTGAAATCAAAGACAATACATGGCAAGTTAGAAGCTTCCCTATATTTGTGTGAACACAATCATTCTTAATTTTTGCATTTATTTCTGTGCTTAGCCATTGTCATTTCGAGATGATATTTTCAAACCTTAAATGTTGAAAGACAACAAAATGAATTAGAAAAACCCTTAACGATATTTTAATGTATGTTTTATACAGTCAAACTATAAGTAAAATATAACTATTATTTTCATTGTAACTAAACCATATATTAGAGATAGGTGATACTGCGTTTATACTCCTCAAGGTACGTTTGACATTATTTATATTATCACAACCACACTCTGACTATATTATGGTAGCTTACAAAAGTTTACGCTTACTAGGTCTAGAGATCAAATGTTCAAATTTTACATGCTGTAAACATGTTCAATACATTATTACTAACATCGCTTGTGTCATACGCACTGAACTATCTATGTGATTGATTGGGAAGGAGTAGACAGTTTAGTAAAAATTTGAAAAATAAGATCATCAAGAAAGGGCGGCACTCAATGAACGTCTCTCCCATCACAGGATTACAAGCAAGAAACCCAATAGGACACCAAATACGACAGGACACAAAACCTCAGTGCCAGTAAATAAAATTAGCAACAATCGTCCGATACTTGCCCGTAACAAACTTGTGTGTTGTTATCAATTAACTCATGCAATTTGATACGGTATTTGTCTTTACATTGTTATCTGAGATGAAAAATATGGCCTCTAGAAACTGTTATATCTTTTTTTAGTATTTGTGTTTAACATTAAGGTTAACAAGTTGGTACATAAAAAAGTAAAATGCAACAGTGTTTAGTATTAAGCTCGATAGATATTCATTACAAAGTAAGTTACTTACAAACAACTTCCATGAGGTACGAACTGATATTTTGGAGGCATATGTACAATAAACTTTTTTTGTCCATAAATGTTTTTCATCGTCGTATTTATAAATGTCTGTACTTTCCTGAAAAAAAGTTTAAAATCATCACGCACAGTTTTATTATTTGCTCGATTTGCGCCCAATGAAAAGAAAACAACCACTTTGGATAAAACGAATTATTGTTTCTGCTACAAGAAGGTGAATCGTGGAACAAATGTTCTCTCGAAGTTAATTCTAAGAGCATAAAGTAAAAATATACTGGAGAATCACTTGTACGTTAGGCGAATAACTGCCAGATTCCATGCGCTTGGAAATTACTGAACATGTTTCTAAATATGTGAGTCGCTGATTTTTTTCTAATATTGTGACTGGTGTTGAAAGCAGGTTTCGCTATTTAAGGCAATACGCATATGTATCAATAAGATTAGGGCCACTTAAAATGTTCGTCAAGCGATTGACAAGTGTTTTCACGTTTTACTTTTTTCAATACCCGTGAAACTTTTTTCAATTTCCTGTTTCTATGGCCGTTCTGAGGCCTTTCTGTCACAACAAGAATAATAAAGATATCGTATTCAGAAAAGAATTAAAAATTACTTCAATCAAGTTCGTTTATCGACTGGTATGAAATGCCTGCATTTGGCACCATGTGACTTAATTCCTCTTTCCTTAAAACTGCTTACAGGGCATCGTTCATTGGTAGAAATTGACTTGGGTCGGGTATTCTTTCAGGTATTCAAAGGTTTACATAAGGAGGACTTCGGTGAGCATTTTAAACTTTGGAATAAATGTCTGAAAATTAGTATTGTAGTAGCAGTAAATCATATCTTAGTGTTGAAACTGAAAATTGTAAAATACTTGCTCTTAGATTTAATTTATTGTCCATATTGCATTACATATTGGCCTACCCTTGTACATGGTTAAACGAATATATCTTATAATCAGGAAAACAATCAAACGACATGTTGTACCATGATTTCTTTATTTAGATTAACATACTCTTGATAATAGCATGGAAATGTTATTGAACTTGGAATAAAAAGTTATAAAGATACGTTAAGAGGCTACTTACGTCTCACAGCATGAATCACCGTCACCTAACAACCCAACTGGAAGGTGAACATCTTGTTTCTGTAAATAGTTCTGTCTTGTTGTTTTAAACTGTGTCCATTTTTCCTTAGCCTCTTCACGGGAATAAAATAGACCTGGGAATCGCCATGATATATAACTGTAACTAAAATTAAAATATATGACACAACGTTTTAACCCTTAAATAACTTATTTTAATAAAAACTAAAAGAACTTTTACAATTTGTTCTCTATCAAATTTTTATATTTATCTAACAGTTTTACCGATCAAAATGTGTTAATGGCTGATTTTCATTTTACATTAATTACGACACAAGAAAGTATTAAAGCCCTTTACACAAAACAATATTATACAAGAGTAAATAACACTTTGACGTGACGTCAATTACGTAATAAAACAATTAGCGTTATATACGCATTTCACTTTATGCGCGTCAATGAAACATAATTCGTTTTAACTGTTAACCGTTCTTATTTTGGATATGTGATAAAACAAAGAATATATTCGTGTATATTCAATATTAAATTTATTTATCTTGTGAAATAAAACAATATTTTGTTCGCCAGAAGCATAATGAGATTTCTTTTCAACTAGTTCAAAAAATCTAGTGCTAAACCTACATGAAAATCTAAAACTTTATAAGATTAACGGAGAAGTAGAGTGTATTACTTAACTTACCTGTATTTTCCACACGTGTACTCTTGGCATAGTGTTGCCTCACTTGTGCTCGGCTGTCTTGTCCTTTTTAAAAGACGACCAAGTTTTCTGTAATCAGATGCACAACACGCAATAATCACTAATATAATAAAAATTCTAAACCAAGTAGCCATAACAGACCAAAATATGTTAACTATATAAAAAGACCGTTTTTAACAACTTTTACTATCAACGTATAAAATGATTATATTAAATGAATATAAACGTGTTTACTTTCTTAACAACCTTGACGTACAAATGTATATGATAATTGACTCAAAGGTCCCTCCTCTTTTCCAGTCGGGTTGATGTATTACGTGTAAAATATGTAGATATGCAAAATATGTAAGGTTACTTTAATTAATTCTTATACCTCAGCAATCAACCAACAATCAATGACAAAGTTAACATCAAGATAGCCCACATTCTGCTTTTAATATTTTTGGTTTCATCAATTACCAACCTACCGTAACAATCTCCAGCTAAATTTTTTGTTATTGCCACCTGTACGTAAAAAATACGATTGCTCAATCCACAAAATAAAAAAAATCTGATGTAAAAATGAAATCAATAAAAATACATATCTTTAGTTTATCTGTAAGAAGTCATTTCGCTATATTCATTTAACATTAACGGAATGTTGTTTTCATCAAACCACATACATCCAAAGTAAATGCGTAGATAATTCAATGTATATTAAACATGCCTTGTGGTATAATCGGCTAAGCCGTTTATCTGATATGTCAACCAAAACATTGTATTTTGTATAAAAATTACATATTTATTATCTAAGTGTGCAATGAACTAAAAATTAGACACATTATCTAAAATAATGAAGATAACAAAATTTCATTATCGTGTTTAACATAAGAATATAACTAGTATTACAACTATTATTAAAAAGTTCTTTATCTAAATGTTAACTAAATGTAATAGTGTAAAGTTATTTTATATATATCTTATAACCCGAAAAAAGTTGGTTGACCCACATGTGTTTCTTTAATAAACTTTTCCTTTCTCCTTTAATAAACTTTTCTTTTCTCATATTCTCAAATCATGCAAAGTTAACATAAATTCAGTTTTCATTTTGTCCATATGTCTACATATAACCCATTTGCAGATATACACGCCTTTTAACGCCTTTTTCACACACCCCTTTTTTGTTGTCTCAAATGGTGAAAAAAATGCCTTATTTAGGCCCCCAACACTTGTTTTTGTTGGAGAAATGTTGTTTAAGAAGTGACCGCCCCCTATCCAAAAGATACATCAGGGGGTAGCCAGAAGGGATGTGCCCCCTTTTGTTTGAGGGTTTGAAGGAGGGCGACAACGCTGCACATTGCAAATTTGGACTTGTGAGAGGCAAAAAATGACCCCAGGTCGATCATAAGGTAACTTGTAACCAACGCTGAAAAGCTTTTGACACTATATCAATCCATTGAGAAGTTGCAGCACTTTGAGTCAATTTTGGTGGAAAAAATCAACGCAAAATGGTGATGTTTTGGCAATTTTTAGAGTCGTCTCGTTGCCCTGGTAACAGGAAGTTTAAGACTGAGCCTCTTGTTGCAAAGACAATGGTCTAGTCAACATTTGTGCCAAGTTTAATTAGTATTGAAGCAGTTTTATAGTTTAATAGCAATTTGAACTTATAACGGGACCCTTTTTAATTAAAAGCAGTCATTTCTCACAAAATGCTCATGCTCAAGCAGAAATGAGTTAACTGTTAAAAAAAGAATTCCGTATTCCGTTATATATCGGACAAGGCGTTTGAATGATTAAATGTTAAAGCATCGCCTTTTCAACCGCCAAAGTTCATTTCGAAACATCTAATTCATCTTTTCACGCCGATTTATATACGAAAATGAATCAAAACTGTCAGAATCGGCGAAAAATGCTATATATTTCTACTTTGTGATCATAATTTCTGCAAGCGTCTAGAGGGACTGCTCCATAACTGTAGTGAGATGTATCCGCTTTTATTTGACAAAGTTTTTATTTTCGCGTTAACGTCACGTTCCGTTTAGCGTATAGTTAAACGAACGTTGCGTCATATGTTATTTTATGAACTTCATTATTTTCTGAAGAAGACATAACGCCAAGAGCTAAAGCTAAAGAAAAGCGTTTGTTTTTATTGAACTGATTATATATATTGAAATATTGAACTGATTATATATGTCACTAAATATGGAAAAAAAAAACAAAAAAAAAGAAAAAAACAACAAAACAGCGCTTTTAGATAGATACATGTACCGTTTGGTTTTTTCATACCTTTTAAGAGCTTTTTAATTATAATAGAAAAATCAATCGACATAGGAAGAAGATCATAGTTTTGCTTTAGATGGATATTAAATATAGAAAGTTTGTCTATTGATACAATCTTACAAATATGTTATGCACAATTCGTTTAACTAATTCACTTGTCCTAGTTTGTGATGATGATGATGATGATGATGATGCATCATTATTATTTGGTTTAATGGGCGAAAATAAATTCAAGTTCGTAATTGTTCGTGATACGGAAGTGTTTCGTAGACACTTTTTATGCCATAAACCCTTCCCTGTAATAAATACTTTATGTTTTCATCGTTAGTTTTAATAAAAAAAAATCATCGAATGACGTGGGTATACCACGAAATTATGATAAAAATCACCCCAGGTTATTTTATATTTCTTTATTCGGTTATCTTCTCATCACAAAGAAAACAAGGTAAGTTTGGTGTCTGGCTGTATTATCACAGTTATTTATACATTGTTTTTGTAGATCTATATATCAACGAGGCCAACCTTTTGCATCAATAAGAGGTTATAAATACGTGAATAATAAATACACAAAACAATGTTAATAATAAATACCGCAAATTGTCGGATTATCAATTTATATACCGGCTAGGAAATTTTTTAGGATAAATCTGCGCTGTAACACATAGTACTTCGCGCTAATCAATTTAAAAAGGACACTACAATTCAAAATTATTATACCCAATTCTTTTTCTTAGGAATTTATTTGTAAAAACAAGAACTTTTCACAAGCAAATTTATAATTCATTTAATTAGGGTAAGTTAATTGCTAAATTTTGTATTTATGATTGGGTCGTGACGTTATATTACTGCACACTTTATCACTTAATCTGTTTGTAAACGTCCGTGCAGCTTAAAAATCTAATTAGGATTAATATCTGTATTTCTTTTTTTCCAATTTTTGAGTTTATCGATTTGTATAAAATGTTTGTTGAATCTACTTCTTTTCGAAACCAATATATAGGGTTAGAACATAAACCCTAAAAAGCCAATCGTACCATTGTACATTAGTCTCTCAACCAATACAAAGAATGGGAAAGAAACAAGAATAAGACAGAGGCTACTTTTAAAGTTTTAATATAAACTACACAATTTGAAAATTTTCGATATTTAAAAAAAAAAATTGTTTTGTGTTGCTTGTCATATATACAAGTATACAGAAGTAATAAAAATGTTCATTATAATATTAGATTAAGATTACATTGTACTACAAAACAGCATCTCTTTTTCACAATGAGTTATCGTCTACGTGAGCTTATGAAATAGAAAAGTACCCATAATTTCCTTTATGCTATCGTTTCTAAAAACATTTTTAAACAATATCCCATGGGAAAATACTGCGATTATCTCGTTTGACCTGACAAATAAAAAGCCGTAAGATATTTAGTAGGTGTTATAACTTTCGAGTAGATCAAGGTTAACACTACCATAAGTTAAAAACAGTAAATTTAATAGGTTTAAATATATGATGAAATATCTTGTCAATAAACAATAAATTCTTCTCAATAAGACTTCAGTATGACAGCAGAGTAAGTGTGTTCAAACAAGGAAACAAAGTTACCGGATTCCATTCATTTTTGTGGCCACTTTAATTCAAAAAGAAGTACCGTAAAAGAGACCAATATATTTTCAAGTTGTCAATTTTATGGCCTAATACGCAAATGTTTACGTTGCACAAACAGTTGGGTCTTGCTCTGACTGTACATAGAGCTACAATGATTTAGCATATCCTTGGTACGTCTAAACAAGGCGCAATAAATTACAAGTTAAAATCTAACATCTTCGGAGTCATTATGTTTCACAAAAGAAGACGGTGTTTTGACACGTAGTTCATGATGACGTTAAGTTGTTTTATTGCTTGTTCTATTCAAGCATTTTACATTCTTATTTGTCACTTTATTGTTAGTGTTAACAACACACTTTTCAATATAATACATTTTTTATTAATACATATAATTTAAAAGGACAAAAATATTCACTACACAAATTGATTGTTTATTTGAACTAACGAAAATAATCAAACCCATAAAAAGTTTACCATATTTCAGCTATGTCATTACATTTATCTGTTAACTAAACACTTAAAACTTAAAATGGTTACAGGAATGTGAATTGAAGACGTCATAATTTTAATGCACACCCAGTCAGTAAACTTAGTCTCTTATTGCGTGCAAACAAAAATATTTCATCATCAAATTTTAGTTAGATGATATAGTACTAAAATGTAAATATTTGACAACGCCAAAATTTGTTATTCATTAATTGGCTAAGGGTGTAAAAATAACATTCCTTTAACAAAGTGTTTGTTTAAAAAATTCTAAAAAGCAAGGAAAAAAATCATGACAATAATATGCAAATTGAATGCAAATATCATTCAAATATTTTCATAATACAAGTATATTTAAAGTCAATTATATGCCGAGATGGGAACTATCATTATGCAATGATTGTATAATATCCTCCGTTTAAAATTACATAAAAATACTTTCAGTTTGTTATGATTGAAAAAATCATTTGTTCCGATAACATGTTAATTCTGTATGTTTGTATCTATGCGTTAATGTGCGTTTTTATCACATAAACCACGGCGCAGGAGTGTTATAAAGCTATTTAATAAAACGATATTGCACTACAATATAGTGTAATAAAACTACGTAACGTCATTTTTATTATTCTAATCGCGCTAATGTTATCGATAGACAAATAAAAATGACTTTTATTTACTGTATACCCTCTTACTTTAGTTATTTAATAAAGAAAAAAATATATTCGGTAGATTCAATACTAAATTTATTGAAGTCGTTGAATAAAACAATATTATTTATCTCGATCAATAAATTAAGTATTTATCTACACCCATTCAGTATCCTCTATCAATAATACATGAACGCAATGATCGCACATTCCATTTTTTTTATCTTTTTGTAAACAAATTGTAAATTAATATAGTAATTTTGTTCATGAATTTTGTTCATGTATATAATTGTTCACATAAAATGTCAATATGATATTATTGTAATACATATAAATGTAATATTTACTGTTTATATACTGTTTGAAAATCGATACAATGTTTGAAGCTGTTCGTTGAGTCATGCAATTAAACAAAGTCACTATAAATTGAAATGCATAAACGTTTCAGATATTTAAAAACAACAAAAAAAGACAAACAAGTTGACTTAAAATATGTGATATTGTTTGTTTTATTCCACAATCAGTTTACATTTTTAAACGTTTATTTTAGCATAAAATACAGAAAATATCAGTAAAGTATATAGAATTAATTGTATCACAGAAAAAGCTCTTATAAAAATCAAGTGTCAACGTCTTTTGGTGTATCAATTTTTTATTTTCTGAAATTTTTGCAGGCGCAGTACCCTGGTATCTCAAAAAATCCAAACAGAAGGGAGTTGCTTGAATTCATTGCTAATAAACTAAGAATTTTATTTTCGATCACGCATTCGCCCGGGCAACTTCCAGTACGTCTGAAATTGAAAAACAAATGTTTAAAAATGGATTATGGTAAACCAAATAAAAGTAAACTTGATAAAGACATTATTAATTAATGCGATTATGTTACTTCATTTGATGGCATGACCTTTTGCAAGGAATTTAAGTAAAGTAAACCAAACGAGTGTAAAGTTGATATAGACATCATTGACTTATACGATTATTTTACTTTTTTGGATGACATGACATTTTGCAAACGATTAAGATAAAAGCTGTCATGGAAACACAGGTGTCGAATAAGGCAGTCCATTTATAAAATAAAAAAAATATAAAATAGATAAATACAGAATACAGAATCGCACTTATTTTTTGAAGATAGGAAAAAGTGAATAAAAAAGAATTTGTATTATTCTTACACGCAGGAAGCATGAGGTATATATTGGTAGTTGGGGTCGGCTTGACTAGTAAGATGAATAATACTCATACTTTCTCCGTTTACGTTCGTTAAGGTTGTGTTGATTTTATGCTGTATGTGCCTGTAGAAAATGAAGACATACATTTTCAAAAAACGTTTGAAAATGAGAATTTTTTCTCTCTCAAAAGTCAAAAGTCTATTCACATTATCAATTTCAAACGTTTTTCATTTTTTTTTTTGTTTAGGATAATTAAAGCTAACGTAACGTTCTGAATTGTAATGAATGGTATCATCAACTTATATTACATAGGGATACGAAATCTCTAAAAATAGAAAACTTTTTCTTTTCTGGCCCGAAATCTATTGCGCGAGATTCATTGACCATTTGAGTTGATCAATTTCCGCCATCTTGTTTATTGTAAGCAAATGTGTTTACATTTTCATCCATTACTGAGAATATTTAAATTTTCATAATCTTTATTGCTTTTATTTTACATTTTTCGCAACATTTTTGTTACTTCTTTTGATTGACATAACAAATTTTAGATAATATGGAGGCGTAAATGTTCCCGTGTCAAACATGGTCTCAGAAAATATTGCAATAATGTTGAAAATGAATCCCTGATACAAATTGTAAGTTTATGGCGCTATTGCTTATCTCCATTTAAGTACATCTCTGTGATTATATTGAATAGTAATAATGTACATGAACTAATCCATTATTGTTTCAGTCTTTCTTTCAGATGAATTGTTATTTTGAAGATGTAATCACATTAGATATTGTGATATTTTCAACCACAATTTACACGTATATATGTTTGTACTTAATTGAATTAAAATTGAACTTTCTTGTATTATTTACAATGTATTACTTTAATTACTTATTTTTATTGAAACATTTTTAACAGTTTTGATTATTTTGCAACATATGTATTTACTCACGTTGAACAACAAATAGAGCCGTCGTCAGCATAAGGCTGTAATTCAGGATTTTCAAGTCCATCTGCATATTCAGGATTATTTAAAGCTTTATTGCTAACTCTGTCTAGCGTTGATAGATCTTTCCCGGAATGAAATAATCCCCTATACACTTCCTTTAAGTATGTGTAGCTACAAATAACAAATTCTTATCATTATTATTTTTGAGAAATGATAGTTATATATTATAAGCAATAACTACTTGTTGATTTACTATGATTGTAAAGTCAGTTACGAGTAAATCTGAAAATCAAATGTAAGATAATTTTTTTTATATAAAATTGCTGAACAATTTATTCACTTAAATAGATACATAATATTGCCGACGACACAAACTTGCAAAATTCATATATGATAAATAAAAAAGCATTGCAATATTTCATTTCAATTATTTTTTGTTTATTTAACCGTCATAGCTATCTTGAATTTGAAGCTTCAAACATTTGAAATTGTGAAAATATGTTTATTTCCTTCAGTATCATTAAAGCATATTTTTGATAAAATTAAAACACATGACACTGAAAAAATCTTTTCTTTAATGATATAACTTTTATTTCATAACCTTCGCTTACTCTCTTTTTTATCACACTAATTGTAAGACAATACTAATCAGAAAAAAATACACACAATTACTTTCAATGAATAAAATTCTTACCTGTTTATTCCACAATATCCATTATGACAGACAGTGGCTGGATCTTGCTTATAAGTATCATCAGTTGTTGGCAAAGTGTAGCTTGATATAAGCTTAACAAAACTAAGCGCATATAGAATTAAAAGACATGTTTTAAAATTCATTTCATAGACAGAATCTTGCGCAAGTTGTTGAGAACACAATTTCGTTCAGTAGAATCAAATTTTCAACGTGTCATTTACCACAACTTCTAGCTGATTGAAGGTAATAAATACACCTCCCTATATTTATAGGCCTTGACTGACCTGCAAAAATCGCTATTTAAACATATATCAAATATTGTAAGTAAATTTGCTTCATATTTTATTCTGTTAACATAAACCAATGTCCAAGAGAAAATCATTATTTTTGTTATTCAGGTGACGAAAGAAACCTAATAACAAATTAGCAAACACATTCTAACCATATAATAATGCTTGGGAAAAAGTTGTTTTTTTTGTTATTTAAAATTAATATCAGTATAAAGAGTTCTTTAATATTTTTTCTTCCTTGATATTTTGCCTCTTTACCCTTCTTTTATTTCATTCCGTTTTACCCTTTTTAGATAATTTATCTTTTATCCTACTTTTATGTTTAACCTTTTACCCTTTATTATATTTTACCTTTTTATCCTTTTTATGTTTTACTTTATACCTTTTAAAAATAGTTTAACATTTTTGAATATATATTTTTACACTGATATATCTACTTTCAAAGTAAGTAATGTTTATGTCTTAAATTTGACTCTTGATTACTTTGAAAGAATTGTATATAATACTGTACAAACGATATCTTGTTATTGTTTTTTTCCTCTTATTCAAAGACACATGTGTCCATATTTACTTCTTTAAATGCTTAAATAGTTTGTTTGAAAGTTATATCTAAGTTGTAAACAGATAATTAAATGAAGTAATAAAACAAGAAACTAAATAAATAAATAAACGGAAACAAACTGACAGTCAATAAACAATAAAGAAGCAAAAAAATAAAAAAACACCAAAAAAACCCCAAAAAAAAAAAAAAAAAAAACAAAACAACAACAACAACAGAAAAACAATATGCATTTTAGCAGCATTAATTGATAACATAGATAAAAAGACTCAATATGTAAATATGACCTTAATGCTTGATTAAGAATTATTCAATGTCATACATTCAGAAAACTGATAATCTAGTTGCGAACTGTATAAAAGTGTGGCACTGTAACGGTCTATTATTCTTTTAGATTAATAATATCTGTCATATGTTGCGGTTCGGATCGGAATATCCGTCCCGAGGTGACCCACCCATTGGGTGGGTTACCGAGGGACAGATATTCCGATCCGAACCGCCAACATATGTCCGATATTTTTTCTTGCATATTTTACGCTATTACATTATATTTAAAATTATTTATCTTAATTTTCAATAGGAATTTATGTCATTACAACCTTTACTATTTTCGTACAACAGCGTATGAAATTACATCTTCATTTATAACGGTAAAATTACGTCATCCTAAGCGTGCCATCGTACAGCCTGCGACTCATCTGGCACACCCTATGCCATATGAAATTTCCGGCATGGATATAACTAACGGAAACGCCAGTCTTGTATGCAAGAAATACTTTGCCAGTCATATTGAGTCTTTTCAATAATATACATGTACTCTCAATACAATCAAACACATAATTATCATAATTGAGCAGAAAGCCTATTCTATTGAATCATATAATAAATATATACGGTAATTAAACAATAAATATTTTTGTTAACCTTGACACATCAAGATAAGGAAGAATATTTAAATTACCTCCAAATATAAACACCTGTTTAAACGTATCCTAGATTTGGGGCTTGCACGTTGACAAAGTTATAAATTTATGAAAACATACGTGGGGTTAAACACGATTCAAAATACAATGTATTTTTTTTGCCACACTTCTTTACATGTTAATGTCGTCTTATTGATGCAGGTCAATTTAAAACTTACAAAAATTCAAAGGACATTTCATGATGCTGTAAATACAATTTAACACTTTAAATAATACGCATACAATTTTTATACATCTTAGATATATATTTTTTTGGTTATATTCTACAGTTTACAGGAGACAACTAAAAATAACATGTCACAATACTCGTCGTTTGAATTGTCTTTCTTAGATTATACAATATTTAAGAATTATGAAGTGGACTTTGGTTGACTTTGGGTAACTTCGGCTTTCTTCTGGTAATTTTGCTGTTTTCATCTTCTTTGAAATCTACATAATATCTTTTTTATCCTGTCACTTGTATCAATTTCGGTCCGAAAACAAGGTGCCGTATATTTTAAATGATCTACGGCACTTGATCACGTGGTATGCATGAATGGGCACCTATTTGCCGGACTACTTTTCAAGAAAAAATATAGTTATTATTATAATGTCCGACTTTATGTTTGGTGGTAAAATTTGTTTTCGCCTCAGAGTTTCCAATAGAAACGTTCTTTACAGTTCCAGTGGTATGAAAAAAACTGTCGTTAAAACTTCTGTGTGTAGAATAACGAATTTTGGAAACGTTGATTAAACTTTGTTTGTTTATTTTATTTCACTCTATAATTTTTCAAGCGAAATAAAAATTATTAAAAGTGATATTAATGTAAATCTTAATGTCGTTTGCGACATTAAAATAGCGTACTTGATTTGACTGTTTTGCACGTGCTGTTTGGCGCTACATTGTTACGCCACGTAAACAAGACTTTAAACGTCTGTACAGCGTTAACGACTAAATAAAAGATATTGGTGTTCGAATTCATTTTCTTAGTTAGACCATTTTCTTTCATTCTAGATAGTTTTCACAACAAAATTCGACAAAAAATTGTATTTATTTATCACATTTTTCAAACAAAATGGCGCCCTCAATGTGAAAAAACACAAGGAGATAATTAGAACGGCGAGTGCATTGTTGTAGAATAATGCACGCTTCGGGCCTTCTTTGTTTATATAGAAACATTTCCGATAGTGTGATTAAAGGTGGTTTGCCTAATAAAATTCTTAAAAAACGGTGACAGGATAAATAGAATAATAGATTGGTGCCGTGGATGGAGAAAGTTTATCTGGCTCTGCTCCGGAATTAATTGGGTGAGCCGAAGTCTCGCCAGATAAACTTTCTCCATCCACGGCACCAACCTATTATTCTCCATATATCTGTTTTGTGATTTTGTCAGGTGAAGTGAAATGGTGTTGTCCAATCCACTCAACTCAACTTAACTCATATTTGATCAAAGACTAATCTTTGATAACAATTACATTAATCTAAATTTCAAACACTTAAAACATTTTACATACAATTAAACCATTAATTCATTTAAATTATGGAAGACTTTTATAAAATCTGTAAATGAGGATCGGCTAAATATTAACATATTTATTCATATTCGGTCAAAAACAAAATTAATCTGGTGCGTACATACGCATCAAAAATTATGAAAGCAAGCGCCGAACAAGACCATCCCACGCCAGAGCCTGACAAGCGTCGATCCGCAAAGTAAAAAAGGAGTGCGGTGACAAGCGCATTAAAACAGTGAAAGATCGGCGCCAAATGAGATGACAAGAAGCACAGAACACCATAAACCACTCAAGACCTAACACATTCCATGTACTCTATTTGTAGTAGATCTACACTACTTACAGATGTCATTTAATCATGAATAAAGTAATGACCTTCATAAACTAATTGATATGGAAATATCTGCCAGTGACGTCGATATTTTGTGAAAATACATATATGGTGACTCTCATGCATGCACATTAGAGTCCGTGCTTATCCTTATAAGAACTTTCATGTTTAATATACAAGATAATCATTTGCTTTATCATAAGTAAATTATCTAAAGTAAAAAACATGACGGTTCTAAAAAAATGATGAACATATCTTTTGGTGTAAGAAACTTCAGCATAAAACATTCGTGTAAAGAAACGATTTCAATATAAAATGGCAAAGTGAAAGGAAATTTACACGCAGTCGTACATTTTGTGCTTTGTGATATTTTTGATTCACACATCTCTCAATTAAGTTGAATATACACATAAAATGTTTCTGTACGAATCTTTTTTTATGTTTTGAATTACAAAAATGAAATAGAAATGTACAGAAAGCTAAACATGTTCACAGCTTAATGTCATAGACATGTATTTTGTCACTTTTTCCACTAGAAGGATCAAAAGTTATCATCATTTTGTCTTCCGGGACAGTAAGAGCAATATCTTGAGGTCCCATGACGTCGTCAATCCTGTTTAACACTTCAGATATCAAGTTTCCATCCTTGTCAAGGATTTGGACATTGTCAGATCCAAAACCACAAACAATGACACGCCCATCTTTTGTGACATAAATGCCACGTGGTGAATTCATACTATTATCCTAGAAATGAAAAAGGAATGCATTTTGTTAATCTTATCGAGTATTAACCATGATAAAAATGATGACTTTTTTCACAAATACATGATAATTAAGTAGGACAATCCGAGTATCAGCTATGTCATAAAATTTGTTTTTGTAAAAGTTACTTTCGTAAGCTGTAAACAGGTGAAATACGTAACCCCGAAACAAGGGAACCATGAACTCTAAATGGGGGAACCATGAACCAGAGTGCTTGTAATAACCGATCGTTCTCCTTTAATTCGTTCATCATTTAATATTTTAATACGCTGACAAGTCAATGATAATAACAAGCGGCGATATACAATGAAGTAAATTTTTACAATTTACCTTATAGACAAATTGTTTCATAGTCATTCCGGATATACATGTCACGTGGCTTCTGTGGCAGTCAGTAACGTACATTAACCCTCCAGTAGAGTTCAGTTTCACATACCAAGGTCTGAACAACATCGGAATGAAAGTGTCGTCTGGGCGAATTTCTTGCTTTTCCTTCCCATTTATATCAATTATCTACGAATAAATACACATACTAAATTTATATCTTTAAACTAAATTTCAGTATTTCTTATCTTTATATTCATACTTAATAACAACAACAACAAATGAGACGTGTACACAATAAATCATTCATTTAAATTACCTTCTTAAGAATTTAGGATAAAATCTGTTAACAGACAAACCTTTATAGATGGTGGTGAGGCACATGAGCATGCAACAGCAAATCTATCTCCAGCAAAAGATATTCCATATCCTCGGTCAGATATCATAATGCTTTTGCTGAGGATAAGCGAAGCACCAATTTTGAAAATATCTATTCTATTCTCCCGTGGAATTGTCACAGCGAGTTCAGAGTCTGATATAATCGTGATTCCAAAGGGCTGACTTTCGAGAACCGTCTCTGATACTAATTTCAGATCTTTGCTAAGTATCTTCAGCTTATTGTTGTTTCTGTCAACCAAAATTGTTTGACCGTTTGGTGTACATACGATTCCCGTGAACCAGCATGTTTCTTTATCCGACGGAGAACTTGCAGAGAAAACGTCTTTTAAGTTTGCGTACATTGTTGATGAATGTACTGACTTCATACTTTTGATACTCTTTGTGTCTGATTTTAAAGTACGCCTTGATCCCATTATGTCCAACTCATCTTCTGGATCCGAGTCCGATCTTGCTGTCATTAGAGTCTTTGATGTGGGTAACCGGGCTGAGGAGGACATTACCCTTAGTTCTCCTAATCGACTTATTCCCTTCATCAGATTTTCCAAGTTGCTGTCTACAGCAAAATTTATTTTTGTATTCTTGATGCGACTATTAAGAGATCCTAGTTTTTCCTTGTAATATTGACTTTGTGTAGTATTATCTGGAAGGTTTTGTAAGACATGACTGTCCGTACCGTACTTTTCTGTACTTTCTACTAGACCATGAAGATTTCCCGATGATTTTCTTATACGCTGTGCTTCTTTGGTTTCACCACGGATTGTTTCCTTTTCTTTGTTGTGCATGGTGTGAAGCTCTTGGATAATTTGCGTCTCACATTTAGTTAAATTCTCGTTTATCTTTTTCCTGACATCTTTTATCTTTGTTAAAACATCATTCTGATCATCATCTACAGATTTATCAGCCTTCGTTCGGTTTTCATATATAGACGTAGCTAGATTTGTTTCTTCATGAAGTGTACTGTTTGTTATATCTATCTGTGGTTTGTTCCTTGAAACAGCTTCCTTCAGCGTTAATACACCTTTGCATGTTTTATGACTTCCAGCCACGCATTTTTCACATAGGACTTCCTTATGGTTGTCGCAGTATTTAGTGACATTTTCTCCTTCGTGAACTGTGCAAAGCGGAGAAGATATGATATCAGCTATATCTTCTTTACGCAGTTTGGCCAGTTGAACTAGACTGTGTTGCTTCGTTGATTTCAGAGCATTATGAAAACCTACACAGTTGTCACATAGTGCATCATGGCACATTTTGCACCACTCCGCTGCAACTGTTTTACGATTTTGTCGTCTGCAAGTATCACATGATTTATCAGGATCTTTGAGTCTTAGAGCTTCTAGATAACTTCGGAGGAATTCGTTCGTTTGAAGTTTATCTACTGCTTCCTCTGGGCTTTTAGTGTCGCTTGTAGTTTTAGTTAATTGTAGGCATATTGGACAAAAGATACCGGAGTTGTCAGACTGTTTTGTTTCCGTATAATACGTAACCAGACAGTTTCTGCAATAGGAGTGCATACATGACAAAGATTTTGGATTGTCTAGAGTATGTTTACATAATTCACATCTTGCAAACTCCTCAGCTTGCGAAGTTACCTTTGTTGGGCTGTTAGCTTTCTTTAGTGCCTTAGCTTTAGCAGCAATAGATGCTGTGCTTGAATTAATATCACTCCGAGTACTCTTAGGTTTAACCGGACTCTTCGTCGGACTTCTTGATGTTGATGCCATTTTAAATCTGAAATTTTAATAATAATATGGCGATGACTATATAAAAATGCTTAATTTTCCATTAGTAGTCAATGCATGACAAATTGGCACTTAAAGTTACGGCTATTTTTCCTAAAAGGAGCTTCAATTAAATGAATTAACTGCTTTTCTGCGATTTTTAAAATAAATCATGAAAATAAAGAATAAAACGTGAAATACATCTAGCTTAATATGTGCAAATTGGCGTGTACAGACTTTTGAGGGACTCAAAAACTACACAATTACTGCACGGTACTCACAATATAATTATACCATTTAAATTGCATGTATTATATTTTGATAACATAAAACAAATCATACCTTTCATGTACGTTTATTCTTCCATTTATATTATTTCACTACGATTTCATTCCAGTTTTTAAACTAAATTTACTTCACCAACTACTCCTATTCAAAATAATACATAAAGCATCATTCACCACCTTGTAATAAAGTTCGTTATGAATGGTTGTCAAAATTTAAACTCTAATGCTGTGGATTCAATTATAAATCTATTGATCGTTTTGGGTTTTCTTTTAATTTTGTATCTGAAGTTTAATGAAAATATAAAACATCATTGAATAAGAATATATCGATTTGTCCGTTTCTTTAGAAAAAGAGAAGAAAAACATTTACATCGTTAATCTAAGGGTATTTCATTACCTTTTGAAATAAATTTATGCGTATTTGAAAGATGAATAGAAGAATTTAATATCAACACTGATATGATAAAAAATTAAATAAATTTGAATGAAAGAATGATATTGATAGATCTAATATATCTAAAGAAAATAAAACCTTGTCAACTTTTATTTGCTCTTAAACTTTTCTTCAACAGAAATACCCTTTTTCTCCGACAAAAACTGAAATTGAATATGACAGAGAACTATACGTATATAATATACATGTAGATGTGATTAAAATATAAAAACATAAGTTATTTAAAATATTTAAATATAAAATATAAGTTATTTAAAATATTGAAATATAAAATATAAGTTATTTAACATATTTAAAGATAAAAAAATTAGTTATTTAAAATATTAAAATAAAAAAACTATTTAAACAAATATTTCCATGAATATAAATTTTCGTAAAATTATACAATTTATACCATTTAAACGGATGTGTATAACTGACAATAGCAAAATATTCAGCGTGTTTTATGCATGATTAACTTAATGTACACTTCTTCTGAGGTGCCAAAAATATATTTAATTTGTTTTTATATGCAAAGCGAACACTCGTTTATCTTTAACTGAAATAAATTTTGAATTTTGTCCAATAAATAAGTAGTTAACAGATAGAAATTTTATTGCTTGTCGAGCCGACAACTTGGATAATGGGAATTTTAAAAGTTACACTTCTGAAACCAAGTAGTTTTGATAAAATACTAAATGGAGTGCTTTATTTGTTATGACTGAATGACACCTTTTCAATAAATACCGAGTTTATAATTAGTATACGTGTACCTTATTTGTTGCTATATCATGTAATATGAACAGTTAAAATACGCGGTAAAATACGGGGGAGACCACTCAACGTGCAAAATGATACTGTATTCTCGTTTTCTAAGAAAGATATGTTAGATAGTATTTTAGACAAACATTGAGAAACACGCTATATTATTTCTTATTTACTGGTATTATAGCATTTCTTTTATTGTTGTCGAATAGGTTATTACATTTATTTGTTTATATTTTTATTTATAACAAAAGATAATTGACAAACACTTTTAATTAAGTTACATGTTTGCTTACATGACCACATGTTTCCATGAAATTTATAAAAGCACAACAGAAAAATTAATCTTTTATTAAGTTGTCATGATTAATATTTGCTTATCTAAATACAATGTTTATAAACGAGCTAGCTGTTACCGATTCAAATTAATTATCTTATTGAACGATATATGAGAAATTGATAAACAATGGAAACATTTGCGGCAAAGGTCGCAAAAGTCTCTTTTCGGATATCGGTAAATAATAAGTCTTAATGTACAATTAACCTAATTTATACTTACTGAAAGGGAGCAAATTATACCCCAAGTCAACGTGTATATTATATACTATGATAGATTGACTAACCTCATATCAACGTCAAAGGTAACACGTGGTGACTTAGAGATAATGCCATCGTTTGACATCTGAGATTGAACTTTTTGTAATAAAAGCCCAGTCTTCACATTTCGAGAATATCATACTGTATAGTTTTATCTATCTTTTTATTAATAATATATTTCTAAAGATTGGCTATTATAATGGTGATTGACCAATAATTAATGATGAAAAATGTGCATGATACATAAAAAAAACTACGTAAGCCCTAACGAAACTTTCCACTCTTTTTAAGAATTGAGTGTTGCCGATAATTCGGTAAGATATTTATAGAAAATACCGTTGGTAATATGGATTATTGATTAATTGTTCATAGTACAATATAAAACTGAATATATTTATGACAAAACGTCAAGTTATTTTCATTTTAACAGTTCACAGACCATTTACATTTGGATGGGCATGATATCAGTTCAAGTTTTGCACATGTTATGAATTTAAAGTAACTGAACTGCTAATTGCTTTCCTTAAAGTCATACATTATGACTATAATTACAAAATCTCATAATTGAATATGTATCCGATATCTTCCATACATTTATACGTTTATCTCGACACTTCGTTATCTCGACTTTTATCGGCGGTTCCAACGGCTTCGAGATTTCGACTACACGGGTATGATGATGTAATTCCTTGCTTTATTCATCTATATTTTCCTTTGAACATTATTTTTGTACCCCATGTATCTTATTTTGCTATGCATAAATAATGTTTTCTCATAAATACAGTCTATTGAAGACGTTTATAGAAGACGGTATTTGTCTTTTTAAAGCAGTACATTGATTAATTCATTTCAAATAATGTGTAACATACCTAGCTTCTTTAAATGAAATGGCAAATTAAAAATTTAAGCAAAACTTAAAATATTTTTTTCTAAATAAATAAAATTGGTAAATAATTTTTCGCACTGCAATGATAATGTTAATAAAATCTATCATAAAGTTTAAAGACTCACAGATAAAATATATTTGTTTATACGATTTCGGTACAAATGTTGTTCAGTAAACACTTGTTGTATTGCCGTTAATAAGAAAAATAAAGATAACACAACTAATTAAACATCAATTCTGGTTCTATAACTCCCGTACCATATGCTACATTACTATGACGCAAACTTTATGCTTGAATCAATAGGTTCTGTCCAGATAGTACTATAAAAGGATGGCGCACCACAATGTTAACAATAACCTGCCAGGAGTAGAAGCGGTCAAGGGTGATTATTTCCGATTTTAAATCTAATTTAAATCATATTTCCAAATTACTAGGTAAGTTTGTTCTCTTTTTCATCATATAAAAATATCAGAGTATTTTAACTTAACGGACTGCAAAACGGTTGGTTTTCTTTGGTTGGGTTTTAAGGCGCAGCAACACAATAAAGATCATATGGCGCGTCAAATCAAGAAAGATGGTTTTAACTAACTCCTGGTGTCAACACCAAGGGTCAAAACAACCTCACCACCGCAGCGTATATTTTGTTTTGTTTGCTTTTCGGCGCATCAACTTAGTCTGAGTCATGTGGCGCCTAAACAGGATAACCTCGGGTTTTACAATCTAAGAATTGCATAGACTTCAGTTATTCGAACCAATTTACTATCACTCAGGGATAAACGATGGCAGCAATTCTGATGCCTAAATCCTTAAAGACAATCCTTCAGCCACAAGGGAGCTACAAAACTGTTGGCATTAGACATTAGAATTGAAACACATTCTTAGAAACGTAACATTGCGTTTTGACAGAAACATGATATTCCGATTTATATTACAAAACCTTGAACATTTTGTTTTACATGTCAACTTTTACAAAGAAAATAAAATAAGACAGCTAGTAAACATTCGTCAGGCAGTGGTATTTTACACGTGAGATTGCAAAGATACTAAAGTTTTTCAAACAAAATACGGTAGTATAAAAATCAAGGGGTCTATATTTTACCTAAATTTTATTTAATGACTTCAATGGTCTAAAAATAAAGATGTTCGTTAAAGTATTTGATAAACATATCCTTCCTTATAAATTATAATAATAAAGTATGGGAAGGGGGGGGGGGGGGTAATCAAGTAAATACACTGAACGTATTCATGTGTATTTCTGTAAAAGTATATTGCGACTAAAAAGGCTCTACATTCAAAATTTCACGATATTGATGTTTAAATATTGAATTCTGCTTAAGCCGGTGCCATTTTCCAGTTTTCTCTTTCAGGCGTACTTTAAGGATTCTGTTTTTCTCTATTTTATATATATGGGGAGTTAAGAAGAATGCTACACAGAAAAATATATGATAACAATGTATTAAATTTATTTTTGTACACTGCATTATTGTTATTTTTCTGTTCCTCCGGGATAACTGATTCCAGTATTAATGTTTTCATTTTTTCCGAGGGATCATCCCTTTTCCAGATATTTTACAGTATGATAAAGTTCTGGACCAAGTTGTGACTGTCAGATGAAAAAAATACATTAAAACATATTTTTATGAATAAAATAAGATATTTCTGATAATACATCGAAATAATAGTGTTAATTGTGTAAAGCGTTATTTCGCACTCTTGTTTTAAATGAAATAGAAAAAACATTATCCCTAAAGAACGCCCAAAACGGCAAATGTTGCAGGCTCGGTTTGATCGAGCCTGTTTATGGACGGTACAGGAAAGAAAAAGTTACCGTCTAAGCTCCCCGGTACCGGCTTAAGCAGTATATTGGCTTTTCCAGGCAAGAACCGTTGATGATCCGAAATTCTTCTTGTTGAATGAACGCAACGACTTAAATATCAGAGTTTTGTGTTGTAGATGAAAATACTCAAGCAGGGCAATTTTTCGCAGGTAAATATCAAACCAAAGTTTTCGACCATATTTTAATATAACCAGTGTAAGAGGATTTCGGATATGCATGTCTCGCTCATGGGATTTTTTAATGGAAATGATATGTGAACCAGACTGGTTAGTAAATCTATAGAAAGAAAAGAAATGTATTTTTGTGACAAGTAGGAAGATGAATATCACTTTGTTTTGTCCCTATACATTATAATCAAAGGTAACAGTTTATTATACATATTTATGTCAATTACCCGAATATGCAACAATTTTAATTTGTTTTAAATACTACAATAGTAATTCAAGGAAAATTCTTAAATACTTTTAAGAATATCATGCCTCTAATCTCATTATTTGTAAGCTTAAATATAATGATTCCTGTTACAATTGTTTTCTTTACATCTGATACAGTTTTTGATGTTAAAATTAATTTATCTCTATTTTAAATCATTTCCTTATTCTTGACGGTATGATTCAGGGAAGGCACTGTTTGAAACATTTTCCGTTTCCTGTTATGATTCAGTGACAGTACTATCTTTCTTTTAAGCTTGATGAAACTATATACGTTTTCTGTTTACTCGATGTTATGATTCAGTGAAGGTACTGTCATAAACTTGCGTTTTCTTTCAGCTTAGTGCAAGCACTATCTTACTCTATTTCCGTGGTGAAGGCACTATCTTAATCTATTTCCGTTTCTTTAAAGCCTGGTGAAGGCACTATCTTTAAGTTAAACTATTTGCTTTTTCTTTAAACCTGCGGACGGCACTATTTCAAACTATATCCGTTTCATGTAAGCTCGATGTTATGATTCATTGGAGGCACTATCATAAACTTCCGTTTTCTTAAAGCCTGATGAAAGTAAATCTTAAACCATCTGCCGTTTTTATGCCTGGGGTTAAGCTTAAGCGAAAACGCTTTTTTAATTCCTTTTCCTGTAGGCCTGACACTTTTATTTATTGAAGACATTTTCACTGTTACGTCGACTTTAATGTTTAAATAACTTTATTTTTTACAATTAACCATGCTATTATATAAAAAAAATCCAATTTTATTTCTCATTTTATTATATAGCACAATGAAAGCTAAGCTGTGGATAGTATTACTCATTTTGGCACTTGTGCTACTCTGTGAATGTAAAAAAGGATCTAAGTCAAAAGATAAAAGTAAATCTAAAAGTAAAAAATCCTCCGAGAAGAGTGTAAAGAAATGGTCTCCAAAACAGAATGTGCAACCAAAAAATACAGCGGACAAGAATTACGTTGGAAACACATGGAAAACAAAAAGCGTTAAGTCTGGTGGGAAGTCAAAGGACAGCAAAGAACTTAAAATGAATACATGGCAAGCAAAAAAATCAGTCTCGAAAGATAAAAGTAAGAAATCCATTTCTAAGAAATCTTGGTCACCAAATAAATCGGTGAAATACTCTGTAAAGTCAGCAAGTAAAAGTAAATCGCACAAGTCTGGTTCAAAGGAAAAAAGTAAATCTTCTGTAAAGTCGGCGAGTAAAAGTAAATCGCACAAGTCTGGTTCAAAGGATAAGAGTAAATCATCTGTAAAGTCGGCGAGTAAAAGCAAATCGCACAAGTCTGGTTCAAAGGAAAAGAGTAAATCATCTGTAAAGTCGGTGAGTAAAAGCAAATCGCACAAGTCTGGTTCAAAGGAAAAGAGTAAATCATCTGTAAAATCGGCGAGTAAAAGTAAATCGCACAAGTCTGGTTCAAAGGATAAGAGTAAATCATCTGTAAAGTCGGCGAGTAAAAGTAAATCACACAAGTCTGGTTCAAAGGAAAAGAGTAAATCATCTGTAAAATCGGCGAGTAAAAGTAAATCGCACAAGTCAGGATCAAAGGAAAAGAGTAAATCATCTGTAAAGTCGGCGAGTAAAAGCAAATCGCACAAGTCTGGTTCAAAGGAAAAGAGTAAATCATCTGTAAAGTCGGCGAGTAAAAGCAAATCGCACAAGTCTGGTTCAAAGGAAAAGAGTAAATCATCTGTAAAATCGGCGAGTAAAAGTAAATCGCACAAGTCAGGATCAAAGGAAAAGAGTAAATCATCTGTAAAGTCGGCGAGTAAAAGTAAATCACACAAGTCTGGTTCAAAGGAAAAGAGTAAATCATCTGTAAAGTCGGCGAGTAAAAGTAAATCGCACAAGTCAGGATCAAAGGAAAAAAGTAAATCTTCTGTTAAGTCGGCGACTAAAAGTAAATCGCACAAGTCTGGTTCAAAGGAAAAGAGTAAATCATCTTTAAAGTCGGCGAGTGAAAGTAAATCGCACAAGTCCTCAATTAAGTCCAAATCAAAGGAATCAAGTAAGCAGTCTTTATCATCTAAAACCAAATCGGCTGTCACAAAAGTGTTATCAGTCAGTAAAAGCAAATCATCAAAGTCAATTTCAAAACACACAAAATCAAGCAAATCTAAATCAAGTAAGACGAAGAGCCGTACCGTGGAGACACCTGTAAAGTCAGTATCATCTAAAGAGACGTCATTTTCGTCAAAATCTAAACCATCGAAGACATCTAAAACATCTGTTTCAAAAACATCAAAGAGTGTGTCGCGTACAAGTAACAGTATATCTCACACCAGCAATTCATTTGACACAAGTCATTCAAGCCATTCCCACGATAGTGAGACATCGTCGTCATCTAGAAGTTTCGACTTTTCCTCTAGTACAAGCAGGTCTTATTCCTTCTCATACAGCCTCAGTTCGTTCCACGATCCTATGGGCAAATTATGTAAAGGTTTCAACGGAGAGCGTAGAATTGGTAAGGATAAACGCATATGTACAATATTATTCTTTATGTTACAGATTGGATAATAAAACTAATGAATTTTCAGCGGTTCAATGTATAATAACTTTATAATATTACATTCTACTCATGATTTTTATTGATATTTTGCTTATGCATATAGGGTTTTTCGATGATCCAATGGACAAATGCAGACAATGTAGATGCTTTAGAAATGGTGGAATCATTTGCAGGCAACGAAGGTGTCCCAAACCAAGGTGTGGAATAAGTAAACAATTGTTCCCCTCCGGGGACTGCTGCCCCTCTTGCAATCATGAATGCAATTCTGTTGAATGCAGTGTTGTTAAATGTCCTACACGTTTACAAATGTATGAAGATAATTCTTGTTGTCCAACGTGCGGTTGTAGATACAAAGGACAAATGGTTCCGGAAGGTTTGTTGATCTAGTTAATAATTTTGTATATGAATATCTTTCCGCAATTACATAAAACATACATATATTAAACATAAATATATGAAAAAAGAAACATAGATATATAAAACATTTATAAATAAATAATAAATGAACAAAAATATAACTTTATTAAACACGTATACATAACACTATTGAGTTGTTGTACAACAGTTTTTAACTTTTCTATCGCTATATTGAATCATTTATAATAACGTCCCGTCCGTATTTTGCCTTTGTGTCGTTGCCTCCTTTTGTTTCGTGTCCTGCTTGGCACCATGCAGGTGGCCCTGTGGTGGTGCTGGGTTTCATTTAGGATGCATACCCCCACTTGTCGATCTTTGTTTTCATATTTTAATTTACAGTATTTTTTTATTCATTGATCATAAAGCCTTTGTTAGGTAGACAACCATAATTTTTGTAGATATGATGCATATATTCTTATGTTTAATGATCATTAATTTGTTTAAAAACTCTGTGAAACTTAACGCCAATTGAAATGATAGCGTATATTAACTATTTCACGGAAGGAGGTGTACTTATATCACGGAAAGATATTGACACTTAACCCTGTAAGGTGTAAGCTCGTTATTTCTAATATAATTACATCAGAATTATCTTTTTCAAAAAATATATTAAATTCATAAATGATACAGGTCCTTTTGGAGACAAATGTGACGGCTGCAAGTGTTCAAATGGTGTTGTCAGATGTGACGAAAATAAATGCCCGAAGGAAAGGCTACAGTGTGTAAACCCTGTCAGGAATGAGACGTGTGGGTACACTTGTCCTCAAGGTATTGTTTTGTCTTGATTTCAATAAAATAAAATATCCAATAAAATGTAGCGTATGTTTATATTTCTCGAAACATATTCAGGAAAATAGGAAAAAAGTCCTAAAGAACGACCAAATTGAAAATGTTCAGGCTTGGTTTAATTGAGACTATAAATGGATTGTACTGGCTACCATCTACGATCTTTAGCACCGGCTTAAGCTAAAACATTTAACATAAAATGGTAAACTTTATGAATAAAGAAACGTGTGCAAATGTGACCCTAACTCTATGAGATAAATAGAAACATTTCAAATTCATATAATTTAAAACCTGCTACACTGTACTACTCTTGACAATGACATTTGTACTTTTGCTATTAAGCTTACTGATATTTGGCTGGACTTACAATTCTTATTTTTAAACTATTTTAAGCTGAACATATAGCATCTCATTTGATCACAATTAAGATCATTTTTGTGATACAGTACATCGAGAGAATTCTGTCACTAAGGTCATTTTTAAATAAAAAATAACAATTGATAAACTGACTGACCGCAAAATCTGCTTACTACAGTTTTCCCTCTTGGATGATCTTTTACGTCATTTTTTATCAAAATAAAGCATATATGAATGGTATTGTTATGACAGGAAAGACGTGCATGGCATTTGATACTCCTATCCCATACAGAGGTTTCCATGCGGTCGGTGAATATGTGTGCACGTGTCTAGGGAACTGGTTCAAAAATGCGTTCTGTGCAAAGAGGGCTGTTGCAACGTATTTACAGGAACTGTCCTGGTCCATGTGTGTAGACGAAGGTGATGAGCCAAAATAAAAAGGCACCTAAATTAACTTTCCTTACATAATAATTACAAGTAATCTTTGAATAAAGATTCATGAAAATTATAATAGTTTGTGTCTATTTTGTGTTTGTTTACAATACAATACAATAAATGCTACATTAGACTTATATTTTGTATACATAAAATAAGTTTTGCAGAAAATATTTGCGATATATAAAAACATTTTCCCAAAAAATCGAACGCATTATCTTAATATTTTATAAAGTATCACTTAGGTCACTAATTTTTATTAACTTTAATGAACGCTTTCTGTTAGAATGCATTCATCAAATTGGTATCATTATATATTTTTCTAAAAAGATATATGTATTTGCTTGCATACTCTATATTAATAGCAAATAAATTATTGTTCTTTAAGCATAAATCAAAGAAAAGGTAAAACATTATTAATACACGGATATGTATCCATATTGTGTTGGAATTTAAACTAAATTTAGAACAACTGCAACAACAAGAAAACAATTACAATGTATTATACACTTCATATTGATTATCATGCACAAACCCAAAAGTGTTTTGACTAAGACGCGTCACTCTTTCGACTTAAGTAAAAAATATCAGAACAGTTAATTTCCCTTTGAAGGATGTGAAACAATCGGGCGAATGTACTCTTAATATTTTAACAATAACAGTGCGTTGATTTTCTATCTCTTGTTTCATATCTAGGTACTGTTGAAACAAACACTATCTTTTATTATAAATCAATATTAAAGTTCTATTTGATCAGATTTTACGCGCCTTTTGGCATTAAATTATTTTTTGCTTCAATTTAGGAAGCTTATTTTGATAACATGTATGCTGTGTTGGTGCAAATTAATATATAAATGTTCAAACGATTAAAGACAACACATTGCAGCTTCAAAACGTGGTAGTGCTGTAGAATATTACCACATTTCATTGCGTTTGTACTTAAAAATTATTCATATTTTGTTTGTTTCTTGTTTGGTTTTACGTCTCATTAAGGTTTTACGTCTCATTAACACCATGTAGGTCATGTGGCGCCGAAACAGGAAAGATGATTTTGGCTAACTTCTGGTGTTACAAATTTCAAAGCTCACTTGCTGGAGCTAAAAGTTGCAAAGACTCCTGTAATCTGCACCCATTTAGTCACCTATTACGATCACGCATGGATAATCTGTTGACTGCAATTCTTTTGCCTCCACTTAATTAAGAAATGGTTTAACTTTATAAGAACGTTTTATACAAACTCCTCAAAAATGAAACGTCCTAAAACTTTTTACATATATTGAAATAAATATACTTCTACTTTTATTTCCTTTCAAAACATTGACAGAACCTTTTACATTTGGTCTTTTTACAATAAACGCATCATAATATTGTCATCAAATCAACATTGCAGACTATTGCCATAAAAGTAAGTATGTAAATCCTTTTATGTCTACACTGTAGGTCTACAAGGTATACAGTCTAACATAAAGGTTGTCGGCCTTTCATATTGTGTCATAATGTCAAAATTGTGTACAAAATAGAGAAGAAAATAAAACATGTTCCATGTATTTAGTTTATCGTAATTTCTGTTATAGAATGATATCTAATAAAATAGAGAAAAACAGAATCCCTAAATCGGCAAAATTGAGAATGTTGCAGTCTCGGTTTGATTGAGCCTGTTCATGGACGGTACTGGAAAGTGCAAGATACCGTCCACGCATCCTAACACCGGCTTAAGCAGAATTCAACATTTAAACACGAAAATGGTGAAATTTTGAATTTAGAAACATCCACAGATATGCACATAACACTTATAACATAACGCTTTCAACAGTTTAGAAACCAGATTTAAGAAGGAATGAAGTATCTCTTGAGAAACGTTCAACTTGTTTCCCTTTTTTATGCAGAATATACCGTGCTCTTGTGACATTAAGAATATGAAAAGGGAATTTAAGAAAAAGTAGATCTATATAAATAAGTATTATTATTTTGTCTTTAACAACATCAAGGAACATGCTAGAGAGGGAAATACATGCACAATGAAAATAACATATTATTGCAGTTCAACTTAAGGTGCACGGCGATTCAAAAAGTCATATATAGGGGATATGTGGCATGTGAGATCGAAATATCTCAGAGTGAACACCAAACACAATCTTGTCATGAGTGGCATAGCCACAAGTGAAAATACAGCAGCTGATGTTCACGACTGAAATATAATTTGATCTTACATACAAAGCAAATATACATGTTTTAAACGTTTAAATGGATTTAATATTTATATCTACGATTGTTTCAAATACATCTCATATGATCTGAATATTGTAAGAAAGAACCGCCAAAATGCTCTCAACTTTGTTATGCGTGCTCCTCATTTATGAGCGCAAGATATCATTATTATTCAAACATTTTTTTTTCAAAAACTATAACAATGGCATCAAGCCTAAAACATTATAAAATGTAGAGAAACACAAACGCAAAACAAAAACAAAAAACAAAACAAACAAACAAACAAAACAACAACAACAACAACTAAAAACTCAAATACAAAAAAAGTTATTAAATAGTTTTAACCATATTTTATTGCCAATACCTCATACAAAGAGTGTATAGAAACCTTTAGCAAAGTTTGTAAATTATCACATGTAAGAATACAAAATACCTGGAAGATTTGAACAGGCATGCGGGGCAAGTGGTTTCGAAAACGACGCCCAATGCATTTGGTATTCATTAATATGAATAACATTCGGTTGCAAATATATTTGATATAAAATATGATTCTTTTGTAGGTGAAACCAGTCTTACTATGCATTATGTCTGTTACAAACTTGAAATGTCAGCTTACAATAAAAAATCATTGAATAAAACTGTTGTATCATTTACATTTGACGGATGTTTATTCGCTGACATTAGTCGCGACTGTACAGAATATTCAAGAACATTGATTTCTAGCTTAAGTCATACTGGTGTAGGTGTTTGTTATTTGATGTACAGTAAAACATTGCTTGAAGCTACGCAACGTTTTGTCATGAAGTTTAAATTTTAGAAGGTGTATAACATTAAAACATATTCATTGCAAGGTATACAAAATGAAGCATCGTAAAAGGTATGTATGCTAAATGAGGCCACAACGTTGCTATGTGTAGCTCACAGTTAATTTATAAGTTTGCAATGTGAGGCTCAAATGTAAACTGTAGGCAAAGTGCGCTAGCCTGGGTAATTAAATCTATCAATACTTACATACATATTTCAACATTATTGCGATATAAGTGCATCACTACACTAAATCTTCACACCTAGTTTTCAGCAATTATGATTAAATATTCCATATATTCATAATGTACCGTTGTATGCACACTTTATATAAGTCTTCGTGTAATAATTGTTTACTTGTATCAGCCAAGTTGTTTTAGTTTTGTATAATTCTCTAGACGAGGATCGCAAGGCCACCTGCATTTATGGTGATTCAAGATACTTATCACTTAGAATTAAAATATGACACCACCTTAATCTTATATTATTCATATTTAAATCTTTATCGTTGGACAAATAAATAAAACATCAAACAATATTGCTATAACAAAACAAACAAGTGATATCAATAACTTGATTTGCTTCTGTTCAAATCTATCACAGACACATATCTATACCACATAAAATCCTTTTGGATACGCTTGTAGACAGCAGATACATTTATTTTGTCATCTAAACCCTCTTAAACAAATATATGTACGATAAATGACCATCGTAAAAGCTTTTGTATAAAAGCAAAATTCTTGTATATCTGCAAAAGCTATAGGTATGACGTTATTATGTTATTTTATCTATGCTGTTGTTTTTGTATCCTTTTAATTCTTTTTTTTTTCATAAATGTCGGTATAAAAACAAATGTGATATGGCGGTAACATTTTTTAACTTTTTTATATTATCATTCATTATCTCTTTGAAAAGGAAATCGGCAACGAAAATGGCTATTAAATGTAACAATGCGGAGACCGTTCATGAATATCTTGCACACATTAAGTAATAATGCATACAATATTTCATTATATCAGTTTTCAGACAATCAAACATTATGCAGTTAATAACACAGTTGTCGGTCAATTGAGGTTAAATTTGAAACTACTGACTAGTTATCCAGGAAGCCGGTAAAGTAGACAGCTCGCCAGTATATTATGATAACCAAAAAAGTATAATTCAGATTCTCTTTATGTTATTCATTGCATAGGTGTTACGTAGAAGGAACCGTTTGTCTTTATGATTTTAATCAGAGTATCTACACAAACCACCATTTTTCATTTGAAAAGAATTTTTCAACTTGTTCCTTTCACTCGTTTTAAATAATGTGTCACTCGAACTTTTCATTTTACAGACCCGCCAAACATTTTAAAAAATGTGTTAAGCAAACATAATTACAAAATTAGAAATGGATAATGACGCCCCTTCTGCTTTGTCAGTAAGCACAGCGGGACAACTTGACTGACGGACAAGGGATATCTATTCCTCCAAAAATCTTCAGAACAGTATTATTATCAAGTTTCGTGAAAGGTTTATGTTAGGACCAATAACATTTCATAGAGTTCATCTGACTACAAAACATTTTACTTGATGTTTTAACATCAAATATTGAAATATGCAAATAATTGCAAACGAAATGCATTCAATATTGAAATATGCAAATAATTGCAAACGAAATGCATTCATTGCGTTAATTATATCTGCAATATAGTGCCCATTTTACTTAAACTGGTTTTGTCATGATTTTTTTTTATGAAAATGCCTTTCTTACAGTAATAAATTTCACTTATTCAATGGGGAAAGATTTTTAGCCGTGGGAAACTATCAAGATTGAATTTCCATCGTATCCATGCTAGTCTATATCCGTTGTAATTATATGTACAACCTGTCCCTTTGATTTGCTGTATGTGGAAATGAAACCAAGAAATGGTCAAATTAAAACTGTCGCAGGTTCGAATTGATTAAGCGTGTTTATAGATAATAGAGGCATATGCCAGCTTCTGCATGCAATCTGAAGCAGAATTTATCATTTTAAAACCTAAAATTGTGAAATTTG